TCTGGGTCTGTGAGAATACTCAGTCCACACTCAGGACCCAGGCTCCATACAGATGGGTGTGAAGGGAAGCACAGACTGGCTGGAAGCCAGCACAGACTGCCTGGCTTCTGAACCTTCTGACACAGTCCCCCCAGCTCATTTGCTGAAAGCCACAGGCAACCAGGACCAACTCAACCAGTGAGTAAACAGATAAACTTTGGTCTATCCGCATAGTAGAATAGCACTCAGCCATAAAAAGGACTGATGTGCTGCCCCATGCTACAAAGAAGTCAGAACACATACGAAATGCAGCCAGGTACAAGATGGCTAAATCTAGCTACTGAGCAGTCTGAGGCCGGGGGATTGCTTGAGCCCAAGAGTTCGAGGCCAGCCTGGGCAACACAGAAAGACACTATCAGCCCCCAAGACATGACTAGAACAGGCAGATCCCAGAGACAGAACCAAGACTGCAACAGGGAGATGGGAAGCCACTGTTCAATACAAATGGGATTTACTTTGGAACAATGAAAACGTTTTATTAATTGATGGTTGCAATCCTCATGCATGTGGCCAACGCCGGGGTCATGCACGCTTTAAAGAGGTGTGACTCCTAGGAGGTTAACCATCAATTCCAATATCTTTTAAGATTTATTTTTATTTTGTGTATGAGTAGTTTACTTATATATGCACCACGTGCATGCAGTGCCCATAGGGGCCAGGAGAGGGCATTAGATGCCCTGGAACTGGAGTTACAGATAGTTATGCGATGCCAGGTGGTACTGGGAACTGAACCTTGGTCCTCTGTAAGAGAAATAAGTGTTCTTAACCACTAAGCCATCTCTCCAGCCCCTTCAACCCCAGTTTTTTTTTTTATTTTTATTTCCTGGGTTGATTATTTTTGGATGGGGGCTAGGTATTAAGAAGAGGCTGGCCTTGAGCTCGGGACCTTTCTGCCTCCACCCCTGAATGCTGGGATGCCAGCATGCCCAGCTTGTCCCAGAGCTGCTGGACAGATGGCTATTGCTTTTGCTGAAGACAAATGTATTCCACAGCACCACATTGGGCAGCTCATAGTGGCCTGTATGGACTTCTACTTCCAGGGGACCCAATGCCCTCTTCTGAACTCCAGTGGTGAACTGCACTCATGCATGTACACACACACACACACACACAGTTTAAAATAAAACTAAATCTTTTTTAAAAATCAGTTCCAGAGACAAGCATGTGCGCACCTTTAATTCCAGCACTCCAAAGGCAGAGGCAGGAGGATCTCTGTGAGTTCAAGGTCAACATGGTCTACATATCTAGTTTCAGGCCAACCACAGCTGCAATGAACTCTGTTCTCAAATTTAAAAAAACAACCAAAGATAATAGTAATAATAACCAGTACTCGAGAGGCAGAGCCAGGCAGATCATCTCTGTGAGTTCGAGGCCAGCCTGGTCTACAGAGCAAGATCCAGGACAGTCACTAAAACTACACAAAGAAACCCTGTCTCGAAAATAAAAATTAAAAAAAAAAGTAATAATAACCTCAATTCCATACCATTCACCTAAGACAGCACAGGCTGACTCCAGCCTGCTGTTCGATCCTCCTTGCCTCTGGGTCACACGTACCAACTGACCTCTCTCAGCATTGAGGACTGGCCCTTGAAGACTGGGGTCTTGAACCTCTGGTCCACATGCCCAGGGTGAGGACTCATTTCTTCCATAGCTTTATAACAGCTCCTATGCCCCATGTGCCCCTCCTCATGGACACCCAGACACCAAGACTCTCTCTGTCTGCCACCCTGTCCCATTTTACCCAGCAAGCTTAACCTGGCACCAGTCACCAGAAAAACAAGTACCGTAGTGAGAGTCACGGGTGCTCCCACTAAGTTACTAAATTGTGACAAGAAGGATTTTCATGGCCGTGTTCCTGGGGAGAAAAGCAAGGGCAGAGTCAGCTGCTTACCTCCCCCTGGCAAGTGCCAAGGCTGGGACTAGACTTTGGGCCACAGGGCCCTGTCCACATCGCTTTACTTCCCCACTCTCATCTGTGGCCAGAGTTAAGTTCCTCAGTTACTGGATATCCAAGATCACAACACAGAGGAAAAGCCCAGGCCAGGACCTGGGAAGATGGACAGTTCAGCCGGTAAAGTGCTTCCTGTATAAGTGTGAGACATCCCCAGAGCCCCATGTGAAGCCAGGCATGGTGACATGCTCACAATCGGTGAGGCCCAGTTCCCAGTGAGAGACCTTGCCTCAAAGAACATGGTAGACGGCTCCTGAGGAACACTACCGAAGGCTGACCGCCAGCCTCTGTGTGCACATGACGGCTCCTGAAGAAAACTGCAGAAGTCTGACCTCTGGCCTTTACATGCACAGGCATGCACACATATCAGCACACAAAAAGAAAAGAAAAAAAAAATTCCAGACCATGTAGCAACAGCCTCCCCAGTTCCCGGGCCAGAAAGATCAAAGGCCATGTCACACAACTGTCCCTGAAGCTCTGCCACCACTAACCGGACCTGGGCTAGGGATGGTGCTGAGAGTATTACATGCACCTTACACAAGCCACCACCTGGAAGAAGAGGACGCCAGATGCTTATACCAAACACAGAGAGGCTATGTAAGCCCCTCAAAGGCAAACAGCAGCTAGGAATAAAACCCTAGCTGGTCTGACCATCCTACTCTCCAGCCCTGAGGGCACCCACTTGTAAAGCCAGTGGCAGAATCCTCACCTGGCTGCTCCCCACCCCACACCCTGCGTGAATTCTGCTAGATGCCTGAGCAGTGACACTCTACAGTCAAAGAAAAAGGGTTCCAACTATGCTGGGCACCGCGGGGTGGCTTTCCCCAGAGACACTCGGGACAAATGTTGGATCAAACAGGTTGCCTGGGTAATTTGTTGCGCGGAGGGATCAAGGAACAGGATCCTCATTTGGAAGGGACTCCACTCAGCATTTAGTTAACCCAATATAACCCAACATGTGCTGGCTGGGCCCTCCCAGGGGTGGGCAGGCAGGCAGGCGGCCCACATCTGCAAGAACCTCCTCCAGGGGGCCAGACAGGCTAGGCTGGTCCTGGGACAAGTGCTTTCGGCGGGCAGGAGAGAAGCCTAGGGTTTCCAGGCTGGGGAATGCCGAGCTCCACACGGGGACCACTAGAACAAAGGCTTTTCTGTGGGCCCACAGCTTCAATTTGCAACAGGAAGCAATCAGGAAAAATAATTAGCTGCCCACTTACTGCCTTCTCTCCAGACTCCCAAAGCGTGAATCTCACACAGACATTTGGGGGGGCGCACAGTCACCAAGAACAGTCAAAATAAGAGCCTCGGGGAGATTCCTCCTTTTGCTTCCATTTTAGGCCTGGATTACCCCATCAGCTGGTACTCCTGGGGCCTGGCTTCCTAATGTTAAAATAATCGACTCTATTTTTGCCTCCTACACCACCAAACTATAAAGATGTTCCGTCTAGGATACCAGACGACAGGCAGGGGATTCCAGAAACGTCAACCCCACCTCGGACAGGAAAGTCGGCTTACAAACCCCACCTTTAAAACAAACAGCCCCCCCACCCCCACCCCCATACCCCTTCTGCAGCCACGACCCAGGCATTTCCGGAAGGAGCAGCGCTGGCCTGGACTTCCCACGGCCTGTCACGGTTTTGTCTTCCCCTTGTTTTGCTAACACCAGACATGGCCGGAAAATGTAAACACGATCCCCAGGGAGACAAGTTTAGGGGGAGACTCCCTCAGAGCCCTCGGGCTGAGGCTGAAAGCTCCAGAGCTAGAGGCAGCCAGCCCCCCTCGCTCCCCCCCCCAAAAAAAAACCTGGGTGTAAGGGACTGCAACCCAGGGAATCTGAACACAGAGAGCCAGGCCCAGCCACCTCCCTCAAGTGTCTACCCTGGAAATACACAGGGGGACAGCTGTTCGCCTTAATAAGGCCCAGACAAAGGGACCCAAAGTTGTCCCCCTACCCCACCTCAAACTGCCATCGACACCATTCAGGAGTTCAAGACTATCTGCCGGACCCTTGGACAGCTGCACTCCAGAAAAACAAAACACAACACACCCGAAAACAATGATTTAGATGGCAAGAGGCTTGCTTTAAAAACCACATGGCAATCTCCGAATTAAAAGAACATGTGTAGCATTTCCAACTCCTTCGTTTCTCAAGAGTCCGCCTGACCTCAACTCCACCCCCCAGGACACACCAAAAGTTAGAAAGTCCCCCAGCCGGCCACCTCTCCAAAGGTGGGTCCGAATGGGACAAGATCATACCTCCCCACACCAAGGCACCCACGCAACCGATCCCGGGGCTGGACACTGGTTATCGGTGGCCAGGCGCCACCGTTTGGGGGTCACTGGGATCATGGGGGCACCTGGCAGGTGTCGGTCGGTTTGGAAGGCTGACAGCCACGCAGGTCGAAGAGACAGCAGCCAGGGCCAGGCCGCCCCGCGCGGGGCTCTCCGAACTTCCTAGCTTGCAACTTCGGGCACTTCCCAGGGCTCGGTAGGCCAGCCGCCGTAAGCAGGCTCGCGAAAAGTTTTCCCAGTAGTTCGCGACAGACCAGGCCCGCCCGGGGCCACCGCGATGCCCGTGGGTGCCCTGCCGAGCGCGCCTCGCGCCCCGAGCCTTGGGCAGGTGAGGGCC